GACGGGGGGGGGGAAGGGGAGAGAGTGCACTAGGAAGGAAAGAGGAAAGGAAGAGAGGAACAAAGGAAAGATAAAATCTGTGCAGAGCTCGTAAAATAATCCACAGAAAAGTTAGTGTACTTATGTCACCTCAATATTCATGTTGAAATTGCACAGTGAAAACTCTATTTCATTGCGATATGAAGACAAGTGTATAAATTACTGCAAACCCAGTAGCACCACATGCAGTCCGTTTTCATTTTGTCCATATTTTAAATTAACTCTATTGCTTCAGTTTAAATAGAATATTGTAAAAATATAAAGCCATCATTAGGGCTCTACTGGGATTACTCTTATGATTTATTAGTTTTCTGGATATCAGAATGATGGCGTCTTTGATGTATTACGATAATACAACAGTAGTGCAATAATCACCATATAATGCATTGCGACCATATATCACCAAAGTGATTCGATCAGAGAAGTAAGGAGGGTTATGAAATTTCTAAAACTGAACGATACAAATATAATACTGTGAACTATCAGTTACAGGAAGAAGTGAAGAAAAGGAAGTGAATGTAAAGGTAGAGAAAGTGCATATAAATTATGCAAGGACCCAAAAGGTATTACATACTAGATCATAAGGGGAAAGGAGATTTATGAGAATAAACACAGGAGAAAAAGTGAAATCATTTACTCATAAGTTTTCATATTATTAAGAACTGACTGAAATTTGTGAGCAATATGAAAACATATACATGTGTATTTATTTTGAGATAAGAAATTTTGTATTTTTGAGTGCATCTGTCATTAATTCCCTTTATTATAAATTATTTTGTATTAATATTTAGCCATAACATTATAACTTAAAACTTGAAATCTATTGATCATCGTATTTATTTCATTATTTCATATTGTAAGTGACGTTTATTCTGTTCTGCTACTTTATTTTTAAAATATTCTACAGATCTAAGAAAAATTAAAGTGAACTGTACATGTTATGAAATAGGTGATCCAATAAAGAACTAAAGCAAAATTAAAATTGCAAAATGTGAACTCTTAGCTTTTGTGAGAAACATTTATGTTAACACATTATTCATCATCCTGGGCGCATTTTGACAACGCTTCATACCTTGCACGTGACCGATCTCTAAATCAGGTTGCTTAGCTGATCCTCACAGAGGAACAATGAGATCTCAAACCCTCAGTCTAAGCAAATACTGTGGGCAAAGTATTTATGCTCTTCTGTCAGTAGCTTTAGAAATACAATCTGACTTTAGGTCAAAGTTTTAACTAAGATTTAGGTCCCTATTGCTCAGTGACTAGTCCAATCCCCAATTTCCTGTACCCTTGTCAGACTCCACGTTACACAACACAAGCCCTGTCTGTGTGGATGCTGACACCCTCTGTTTAGCCCTGGAGCACAGATGTGGCTTCATCTGTGCAGAGGTCCTAATGCCCTTGAGTTTTGTCTTTGGGAAGTTACAAACATGGTGACACTACTGCAAATGTGTCCAGACTCATCTTGCCTCATCAGTCATGAAACCAAACTGGGAAACCTAACCATCATCGATTAGGGACTAAAAGGCTTTGTTCATGATAAACATAACCATGTGCATTCTGAGTATATTTCCAATCTTTCACATCCCTCTGTCTAAACTACAGCAATGAATCTATAACCTTGGGAGAAGGCAGTTTAAATGCACCTCCACCCTTTTTGGGTAACAGCCCACAATCTAGAGGTTGGGATATTCCTTTCATCCATCCTTGATATGACAGGGACAATTATCTTTAGACAAAAGCCTTACCTTTCATCATGATACTACTTTCTATTTCTAAGTGTGCACCAGCCATCCTCATGTCTTTTTACAAAGATTTCTTAACATTTTCCTCCTGTGTGCTCTGTCTGCAGTTACCTGCCACAGCTGCATATATTATGCCTGTCTGCCTCAGGTGCCTACAAATTCTAACATTTTAGTGCTATGTCAAAAGGCATTTGCTTATTCACCTGCCAGTGTAACCCATCCCAGGGAAGAGTCCACGCCCTTGATATCTTTACTCAGGCTCTCCGTGGGCTCCGCCGCTCTAAGTGGATCACGGGTGTGCTCATGGCTGCGCTCCTGGCCACCAGTTCATCTGTCCACAGCTGCTACTGCAATTGTGTCTTTCACTCAATTCATACAGACTATGAAATATGTGAAATGGACTATTCTTAGTGTCTCAACAGCCCTTAATATTCCAAAGTCTAGTGATAAAAAAAACAAAAAAAACAAAACTGCTCACCCTAACAGCACCAGTGGGAAACATGCTTTTGTGTACAAGCTCAAGTGCATATGGTCACTGTGGGGCTGTCTACCCGCCTCCACCTAAGCCAGTGAACCCCTACTGTAATTGTGTGCATTCCATTAGTTTCATTCCATTAGAGTCCTGGTTCACACAGCAGCAGAGCTCACTAAATTTGGGGTGGAGTTTATTATTTAATACAGTGCACACAAAACACTCATAAGAGTATATTTCAGGGTGCAATATCATAACACCAATCATATTTTATTAGGTCTAAAGAGTGAAGGGTTTTGATGGTATTGCAATAACTTGAGATGCTCTTCATACAAACTATTATTTTCAGGGAAACCTTTGAAAATAACTAGATAATGCAGTAATTAATAATTTTATATATGTGGATACTTCTTTTAAAAATTATGTGGCAGACAGACTTTTAAAATATTTACATACTTTATTTACCAGAATATTTAATCCTGCTCTTTCACTACTACTGAGTGGATGACTTGTCATAATTCCCACATTTATTTCTCCATTGGTTTTAACCAAAACCATGTCTGTGTTCTGGTTACTTACTAAATACATAATGTATAAAAAATACATTTCAAGTAATTTAGATGAAAGCAAATATTAAAATCTCAAATAAGTAATATCCTATTTAAATTTTGAGTAAATAAATATATATTCTTTATTAATAAATGAGGAAATAATAAATAACAAAAATAAGATCTGAAAACAAATATTAAAAAATCAAAAATAATATCTTTTTAAATTTTTGAACAGGTGTTCTTTGTTAGTACATTAAATAAATTACAAATTAATAGAAAACAGTAACATCTGGCAAAACTCATATATCTTTAAGACCCTATTTATTGAAAATAATATTGGTTAAGTAGGTTAACAACTCCATTAGGAACCTTCAGCAGTTAATTAATATTTTAATCCCTAAACACATCTGTACAATGTTGCAAAAAGGGTTTTACTTTCTAGGAGTGAAAATTAAACTATAAAAATCATGAAATAGAAGGAGGGAGGGAGGCGTTGAAGGGAGGGCAGGGGAATGGGGAAAAAATAAGATCCAAGAGTGATTATGTAAAGGTACAAATTTCCAACAGTGAATGTCATTATAGTGTATACATTAAAAGTACCAATAATATTAATTTTTTTAAAAAGCATGAAAGAATGTACTTGACATGTATTTCTACTCTCGCTACCTAATTTTCTCCATCACCTCATAAGCTGGCAGTTTGTCTCGTGTATGAGTCACAATCACAGAAGACTAACAAATACATAAAAATTGAAGAAATCTGAATATGTTGTCAAATTCATCCATGATACAGAATATAAAATTTACGAGTAATTATTTCTGAGATAAATTGAATAAAGGATATATTTAATCTCTCTGTATTATTTCTTAGAGTACCTACATGCAACTTCATGATAACTTCAAACAATTTTATGACAACAAATTGAACAATCTAGAAGAAATGGATAAATTCCTACAAACATATAACCTACCCAGCCTAAATCATCAAGTTGGAAATCTGAACAGGCAAATAATGACTGAGAAGATTGAATCAGAAGATAGAAGTCGCTTATCAAAGAAAAGCCTAAGACAAGATGCCTTCATAATGGAAATCTACCAAACTCAAAAAAAAACAAAAACAAAAACAAAACCTTCTGAAACTTTCAAAAAATTGAAAGGAGTCTTTTACATATCATTTTATGAGGTGAGCATTATCCTGATATCAAAGCTAGGCAAAGTCAATGCAAGCATATAAAACTACAATTCAAAATCCCTAGTCAAGATAGAGGCAGAAACCCTGACAAAACACCAGCAAATCATAACATTGAAACCAAAAGAGATCTTGAATAACTAAAGCAATTTTGAGCAAGAAGGACAAAGTTGGAAAAATTTCACTACATGACCTCAAAATATATAAGGAGGCTAAAGTAATCACAACACTGTGGTATTGGCAAAAAAATGGACACATTAGCCCATGGAACAAAACAGAAAACCAGAAATAAACCCATACAAGAAAATCTACTAATTTTTTAATAAAGAAACCAAGATTATACATTTAAGATGGGACACTCTGTTTAATAAACATTAGAAGAAAAGTTGGATTATCCACATGTAAAAGAATGAAACTGGAACTATATTACCTATCTCACCAATTACAAAAGTGATCTCAAAATGGGTTAAAGACTTCAATGGGGAAAGGTTTTTCATGCATCATGCATTATACTTCAATTGGAGCAAGTAGTTCATTATTACACAGTTGTGTTATTATAGATAATTACAGGATCGTGTATATTTCAAGAACTAGAATTTTCAATGCATTAGAAAAAGATAAATATGGTAAATATCTAAGGAGATAGATTGTTCAATCGGATTTAAATAATATTTAATTATAGCTATAACAAGATAGTGCATCACAATCTCAAAATATGTAGAATTTATATATTTTAGTTTAAAAGTAAAATGAAGTTAAATTAAGACAATTCTAGACAAATAAAAATAGAGATATTCGGTCACCAATATGCCTGTCCCATAAAATACCCTACTTGGAGTCCTGAAAGTGATAGGAGAGGTCTGCAAACAATAATTCAATAGCTAATGAACTTAGATAATGTAAACACACAGGTAAAAATTAATGTCAGTAATATTATATTTTAGGCTTGTAACTCTTCATTTTTTCCTTGTGAGATTTAAAGTAGAAATACGTAAAACAATGTTTAAGCCAATTTTATGCTTTCAGTTATAATTTCCATTTCCTTATGATTAATGATATCGAACATTTTTTTAAATCTTCTTTTAGGAATTCTATTTTCAAGTATTTGAGATTTTTAATTTTTTCAATTATTCAATTTTAAAAGTTCTGCACATGTTTTGTTTTTTGTTTTTTGTTTTTGTTTTTGTTTTTTGGTACGGGGGATTGAACTCGGGTCCTTGCGCTTGCAAGGCAGGCCAGCGAACCGCTGAGCTAAATCCCTGGCCCTTCTGCACATGTTTTGGATAAAAATTTCTCATACACTTTTAAAATATTCTCATGGTCTATTTTCCCACCAATACTTTTCAAAGAAAAATATTGTAATTTTAATAAATTCCAAGTTAAGATTTATTGCCCAATTTTTTGTTTTTATAAAAAATCTCTTTTTTTATATCCTGTGTGTTCAATGATTACTTTTTCTTAATGTGTAGGTTCAACTTTTAAAAATTATTTTTCTGAATTATCTTTACTTCTATTATAAAATTGTGTAATTGGTACATCTATGATTCTCTGCCTTTAATCTTTTTTGTTTGTTTGTTTGTTTTGGTATTGGGGATCGAACTCATGTCCTTGCACTTGAGAGGCCAGACAGATGATGGAACCACTGAACTAAACCCCTGGCCCCCTTTGCCTTTAATCTCAACTTCTTATTATTTTATCCTTCCCTTCTTTCAATGAGTGGAGTCTCTTAACAAAAAAAGTTTTTAGAATAATAAGTCTTAACCAGAAAGTCTTTATCAGGGGACATGTTGTTTAGCGTCTAGTTTGCTGTGGATATTCATTCAACAGCTTTGAACACTACCTGCACTTACTGAAATGACTATCTTTTCCTCCTTCTATAATGAAGAACTTCACTGTCTTTAACCCTTGTCTCTGGGAAGGAACCTCAAATCCTTCGAATTTTTGAACTGATTTTTAAATTTCCCAAACCCCATGCTATGTGACATTTCCTTTGGCCTGTTGAGACTTGTGTTTACTTTCTTCCTGTAATAGCTCACCTTCATGAATTCCATGAGTCTTTCTAGTGAATTATTAAATCTGGAAGGGTAGTGGGAATTACTGAATACGTAGCTAGCTGATTAGTAAGCTAGTATCCCAAACATGAGCTGGTGGCTGAGGCAAATACACTCTAGAGGAAGACTATGCTCTTAACCTGTAAAATATTCCTACCATATACACTCTATTACTAGGTCCACATGATGAATTATATTGACTAAATTTCCAATGTTCATTTATTCCTTTACTCTTTTATTCCTATAATAAATCTACTGTTCCTGTATCAGCACACTCCCTCTCTCTCTCTCTCTCTCTCTCTCTCTCTCTGCCTCTCGCACACACACACACACACACACACACACACACACCGATATAGTGTGATTCCACTTATAAGAAGAATTTTTTTTTTCATATCTTTCATTTTCAGATTAATCAATTATAATAAACAACTATTCAAATTTTCTAACTACATCCCTTGTCATATTTAATCCGTGATTAACTCTCTCCACCAGTGTTTCTTAGTTTAGTTTTTAAGCCCGTCTTAAAATTTCAGTTGGACTACTATTAATTTGATTCAGTGTACTGTCATAAAATTTCATGGATCATAGTTCAACAATGACTTAAGAGTCTCACGTCACATTTTTGACATCTAAGATACTTTGGGCTTGGTAATTTCTGTTGTTGAACATATTCAGAGAAAATTTGTAACACTTATTAAGTTATTGAATGTTGAGTAGAACAAGGTTTGTTTTGGGCATTAGAATATTACATTGTATAGATTATGAGCTCTGTTTCATTTATCAGTAGAAACTTGTTAATGTTGCATTTTCATGTAGAATGAGCAATTAAAGGCTGACTGCGTGCATCCACATTTTGCGAGTGCAGAATTAAATATTAGCACAATCACTTAAGTCTCCTGCATCTGCTTTAAGCTTTTCCTATGCATTCTAGTTTATCAGGCAGGTGGAGATTTAAGTAAGGTTCATACAAAGAATTTACAAACCTCCCTTTCTTGTGTCTCTTTCTAAAATCCCTTCTTCACTCTGTAACTGCATTCACACAGGCTCCTTTCTTTGCTGCTTCCAGCCACAAAACTGGCAGGTTTGTCGTGAGAGTTTTAATCACCTGTGCTCTGATGTTTCGAGGTGCTGGTCCACCATCAAGGAGAAAGCATCTGGAAACAGCCTATATCATGGTCGGCAGGTGAATGAATAAAGAAGATGTTACATTTATATACCACAGAGTACTACTCTGCCATAGAGAAGAGAAGAACCTTGAGACCTTTATGTAAATGGATGTACTCGGAAGCCATAATCTTAAGTGAAAAAAAAAATCACACACAGAAGTTCAAATATCTATTTTTTTCTATTGTATGAGAAACCAGAAGTATAAATAAGGAGCAAAGTCCAGGATAGATATTGGGAAACAGGAAGAATTTGTTGAACTGGGAAGGAGAAAGGGTGAGTAGCGAGGGAAGAAAGGGAAAGCAGGATTTTTTAAAAAGAGTGAATTAGGGGCCCGGGATTTAGCTCAGTGATGTCAACGCCTGCCTTGCAAGTACAGTGTCCCGAGTTCAATCCCCAGTCCCAATAAATAAACAAACAAAAAAACAAATTAGCGAATTGAAAGAAAATAATGGAAATGGAGCTTCTGCAAATCAGGAGGCAAAGAAGAGTTGAAGGGAAGGGGAGGGACTGAGATAAAACAATGAAGATGTATTATGCTCAGGTACAAATTCCTCATAATTACTGTGACGATTATGTATGGCAAATATGTACCAAAGGGGAAAGAAGACAGAATGGCAAATCGCACATTCTTCGTACCTTAACAATATGCCTGCACTTTCTTACTGTTTTAGTTTCTTACACATTATTTTTCTATTTCTGGAGTATATAGCTGTTGTTAGTGTAGAAGCTGGTAAGTTGTGAAGCTGCATTGATATATTAGAAACAGGAAAGCTCAATCAATTAATGTGAGGAATTTTGCTAGATGGATATTACAGTAAACAAAACTTCTTAAAACCAATGATGGTTTAATATAATTTGTTCCATATAAAATCATTGTCTATAGGTGGTATACTTACCGATATAACCCTAATTATTTTGATTGCTGTTTATGCACTCAGATGTCTTGAAAACTGCAGGTCCAATAAATAAACCTTTACTAATTTCTTGAAAATATCAAGCACTCACCATTGCATTATACCAGTGTAATACTGCATAGCAATTACAGTAAATTCTATAATTTTCAGTAACAATGTTGATAAACATAACCAATATATACAAGTGGAAAGTTTTCTCAGTATGACATATAACCTAAGTTATACTTGATCCATATCAGTCACTTTGCCATTGCTGGCACATGATATCTGCAATTTACAAGAGAATGTAGCAAACAGTTATGTGGTTAATGGTCTCAGGGTGTTTAGTCCATGGTAGCTGGTTCTGGTGCAGTGGGTCGTCAATTTACAAGAGAATGTAGCAAACAGTTATGTGGTTAATGGTCTCAGGGTGTTTAGTCCATGGGTAGCTGGTTCTGGTGCAGTGGGTCTCGGGTGATGCAGAGCATCAGACTGGAGGGGTGTGGTGGAGTGAAGCTGATCCCTTTATGTGACCAGGAAGCAAAGCAAGTTTGAAAGCGCTCAGCAGAGGAAGGGCCCAGGGTTCATTGGAGTCCCTGAGGACACACCCCCATGACCCACAAGACACATCTAGAAGTGTGCTTTTCCTGATCCGCTGCACAGCCCCCAACGCACACAATGAGTCAACATGAACCATCACATGAGGCATATAAATGTTTGATATTTGTGAAGCTAGATCTATAAAAAGTATGGGATAGCTTTCAGAAAAGTAATTTAAGTGTCCTAGACAAAAATAATGAGAGTTCTTAGAAAATGTTCCCCGGAGAGTGAAAATGACAAAAATCTTTATGTATTTTAGAAGCATGGCAGCACATAAAACTGCTATATTTTTGTTTGTGTTGAATATATTTTTGGTAGAAGAAGAGAAATGAATATATGTTCATGCTGGTTGTGCAGCCCTTGTCTTTATGAATGAAGCTATCAAAAATGAGAAAAGATAGAGGAATTTTTCTGTATTTGTGCTCATATGATGACTGAATTCATTTTCTTCTAATTGGAGGTAAAATGTATTTTGAGGGTACCTGTGTTACTTCCATGTCATTCAGCAAATGATTAGAGAATGTATCATGCTTTGTACGAGATGTCAGGAAGTAAAAGGTATCTTCCAGCTTCAGAGACAAATATGTAAAGGCCACATACAAATTAAAATATTCCCATGGGGTGTCCTAGACCATTGTTTGTAGGTGGGGATTCCTTACTGTATGTTCACAAAAATAATCTCCTCAGAAATGTTTTGCATTTTTTCTAAATCAATATATCATATGTCTATCAATGTACAGGACAATCATCCCTGTTTTTCATAAATAAGGCATACAATTTTAAAGTGGCACCTCATGAATGCTTTTGTTTGAAAACAATTTGCTTTGCAAATAGAAGCATTTAGCAATATTTTGTTTTTGTTTGCAAATTCTGCCTCAGGAGACAAAAACGACTGCGGAGATCTTCCCCACACAAACACAGATGTGGCCATCTTTACCAAAATCATAAAACAAATTAGTATATGACCCGAGGTACCACTGTACCCATGTCACACATGTTTTCACAATATTTACAAAATCTTTTTGTGTAGTGATAAAAGTCTTAATTTATCTTATAAAACATGTAGGTCTTAAAAGATGAAATGGGAAACATAAAAATGTAAGGTAAATATCAGGTATCAGCAGGCATCAGTGAGAAACTAATTGTCATACCTTGGAGTCATGTTTAACAGAATTATCTGAAAGAGCCTCCAGGCAAGTTTCTGTATACAGTAACTGAGAAATTAATCAATTTTACTAATCCTTCCACATTATATAATCAAAATAGCATATACAATTCCATAACAAGTACAATTATCATCTGTCCATTAAAATTAAAAGTACAGAGAACAAAATGTATGCCACAGGTTTTTTTCCTGCTTTTGTAATTAATTATGAAAATAGTAGAAGAATGAACAGAATGTCATTATTATTGTATATGAAATATCTTTAAATGTCTCATGATAGATATACCTACTGTGGTTTGGTGTATTAGTATATATTTCTTAATAACTCTATAATTCAATCTGGTTTAAGCAGTAAAAAGTAGTTCATATATATATTTAAAATGTCCTTGAGATTGAGGCACACCCGGACCTATGAGGTCAAATGAAAACATCAGAACAACTGATCTTTCAATTTCCCTCTCTCTCCCTCT